AGCCCAAAGTCTCTGTATTGACGTAGGAACAAATATTATAGAGAGAGATAGACCATTCAAATATTTCGTTTCACAAAAATTCATAATAGCTTTTTGATATCCAGTCTCAACAAAACAATTGATCTTTTCAGATTCGTTTTCGTGCTCAGTTGGAGTTGATTCGATTTTCTATCTGTTCATGGCTTTGCTTCTCTTTCTAACAAAAGACCCTCATGTGGGGTGTGGACAGTCACGAATTCTACTCCACCGTGCCAGCTTTAATTCGCGTATGAATGAAAAGAAGCAGAGATGTGAAATATTTGGGGCAATTCTCTCGAAGGGATGCGCAGCATCCTGATCCAAATGTGAATTGATGTTGTGTGGGGAAAATTGAAGTAATATAAAAAGATTTTGTATTCAACATTAGCTAGTTTTTGTTGGGCCTTTCGGATCTGATCGAGAGGAGTATCAATGTACAATTTACACCAAGATTCACTTAACCAAAGACCCAATAGCATAGTCAGTTCTGTAGGAAGACCGCATACTTGTGCTTTTGTGGCTGCATCTCGTCGAAAGGAGTGGCCATAGTACAGGTGCGCTAGTAAATGAAGATGCTGAAGCAGTTGTCGAATTTTGAAAACAAATGTTGTTTTGGAGCATTCAAGTCCCTCAGGTGTTAACAAGAGAGGACGGTTCGCGAAAGTGAAAAGAAGTTGACGTACACGTAAAAATCTAGCGATGGTTTTAACGGCATAGATACAATATTCAACTGTGAAATGATGAATTTTGACACTGCGATGGAACGGATCTGTTTTGGACTTTTTAATTATAATGTAAACATGCCGGAATAAAGAAATTGAATATTGTTTAGACATAAATTAGTATTGCGATCGAAATGGAATGTGGTAAATGCAAGGGGGAAACGGCGTACTTCCGTACTTCCTGTACTCCGGGAGTACAGGAAGTACGGGAGTACGCCGTTTTCTCCTCCGTCTTCAGCCTCTGTCTGTCACGGTCTGTAGTTTCTGTCTGTTATGGTCTGCGATGATCAGCAAACAGAGTCTGTTTTAGTCTGTGGAGAGTCCAAATTCCTCCCCCTTTCCAACACAGATCTTATCAACTAGGTTCAAAGGTTAATGGTCAACGGTCAGAGATTAAAGATTAAAGATCAAAGATCTACGAGTACGTTTCTATACAAACGGAGTAAGAGGTCAATAGTCAATGTTAGACTTCTCTAGCAGCGAGAAACGGTATCTCGATCATAACAGTCCTTAAGCCATTCTGCAACTTTATAGACTGTTCCAAACGTTTGTATGTCAAGGCCTATGGGGATCCTAATTGCTGCCCCTATGTACTTCAACACTCAAAGGGTAAAAAGCGGATTCTGTCTATCCCGGATACACCAGGGATCCAGAGGACACGATAGGGATACGAAAGATACACAGGATACGTCGAAAATCCAGAGGATACATTGGGAATCCAAACGATTCAGAGTAAGGATACTCCAGTTTCAGTTAAGAACTGGAGATCGCGTATCAATCGACTCATAGAACTAGGGGTGAGACGCTAATGAGATTCTCACACCAATCTTTGAGATTTTCTTGGGTGCTCATTTGCCTATTCTCGAAGGAGCACTTGGGTCTTCATCTGTCTATCCTATGAGGGCACCCATAGGTCCTCAAGAACTATTATATGGGGGTGCCCACACTGTAAAAAAAAGGTATTTTACGAAACTAAAAAAGAATCGGTGTACGGACACACGTTCCGAACCTTCTTTGGTTTCGCAAAAAAAAGGTTTTGTATGAAACTTCTTGATGAATGGGAAAAATGGTTTCGTACACAAGGTTCAGTACGAAACCTTTACCGCGAAAAATTCAAAAGATTTCGTACGCAAGGTTCAGTACGAAACCTTCACAGGAAAAAGCCAATAAGGCTTCGTACAAAATGTTCTGTACGAAACCTCTCCAAAAATGATGTCGAAAAGGTTTCGCCCAAATGATTCCGTACGAAGCTTTCAAGGTATTTACATCCAATGAGGTTGCCCTTGAAAATGATAATTCGGTCTTGAGTTGAGCCTCTCTGCATAAGGTAGTTATCGGTGAGATGAAAAAAATTCCCAAAGGATGCCTTGCATTAGCTCTTCTCTAGAAGCAGAGATGGGCAAGTCAGCTATTTTTTCACACAAGTCAAGTCAAGTCATTTCTTAAAGAGAATCAAGTCAAGTCGAATCAAGTCATTGGTAAAAAGAAAAAGAGTCAAAGTCAAGTCAAGTCAAGTCATTGTTTCGAAGTACAACATCTCAAGTCAAGTCAAGTCAAGTCA